CCACCCAATGACCTTGAATAAGACATTAAAAAAAACAAATAAAAATGAAATTATACAATTAAAATAGTTGGAAAAATATTAATATATTTTTTAGTTGTGCAAAACAAATATTTAACCTTTTATGACGAGTAAAGCCGTTTCGTTCGTCGTCAGATTGGGACGCAAAAATCTTTGGCTTTAGCTTTCATTAAAAGTTTGTATATGCGCAGTGGTTTCTCTGCAATACAGAAGTATAGGATGTCTTGGGGCGCAGGAGAGCTGCGCTCTGAGCTGACAGGAACTGTCATCACAGTTGTAGTGCGGCTGATTGAAAAGTCGAGTCGCAGAAGTGAAATCCCTTAAAGCGAACTTAGCAAGAGAAGCTGGAGGTGAAACTGTTTGCACCTGATCAGCCGCAAATTTAAAATGAATCAGCAGCCAAAGACAGATGGAGACGGTTCACGCTGTCTTTTTCCAGAACCTGGTTTAGGTACAAGAGTTGGCTAACTGCATGCAGCAAGGCTAAAGCTTTATTCTGCTTCCCTGCATCCTTTTCCAAACGTCAGGATCTGACCCAGCATGGATAAAGACAGGTAGAACTGATCTAAAGCACTTTTTAGAAAAGGAAAGAAGAACGAACAATCTGGGATTCAAAGTGAAAATAATATAATATAGTTTACTCTTTCTAGATGTTTGTTAATATACATAGTTGCTCTTAAATCAGAGCAACTATAAGTTCAGATTTAAAAAATATTAAAAAAATATATGAAAATTTGACTAATGGCTTCTCCATTATTAAACTGGTACATTCGTTTTTTAGATTTGTGATACCATATTGGACCATACAAAACATAGATTTGCCTTTACGAAGCCTCAGAAGGGAAAGATTTATGTACAAAAAGTAAACCTGTAGATAAAATTATGTTTTTATTTTATTAAAGTGTTTTCAAATGTCTTTTGTTGTTGGCGTTCATGTAAATATACTGGTGTGATAACTTTGCTAACTATACATTTGATTGGTTTTTGGTATACGTCTATTTTGAATTTATAGCCCCCCCCTGTGATCTATATGATCTAGTTAAGCACACTAGGCTGAGTCTTTGGGCTGTGAAGAAGCTAAGTGTTTTACACCTACTAATACAGACAGAGGTGAGTAAAGCATTAATTACCACAGTAAATTTTTGATTTTGGAAGCGGATCTATTGACTGGAAAGTCCAAGAAAGCATGAAGGCATTCTTTTACCACCTCACAGTGATTTTAAAAAATCAGTTCCATTAGAGAGACAATAGGATCTTATATATTTGGATTTCATTTTTACCCATTTTAAAATTAGATATTGCAACATTTGAGCATGAGAAAAAAAAAATCACCATAGAATCATTAATACAATCATTTTTAAGAACCTCAACAATTTTGTCTTAAAGTCGCAGGGAAGCAGCTGTTCAGACTGTTGCATTTCCGAATTCTCCTGATAGGTGCACAACTTTACTAGCCTCATGAGACCATCCTGATCTCGCGAGTTTTCAAGGTTTCACTCGCAGATCAGTCTGGAGACTCCGTTAAAGAAAATTTGGAGCCGTTCACCAAACGAACGTCCAGTCAGCGTTG